TTCTTCATTTTTTTTTCAGAATATTCTAGAGGGGGGAACACATACAAAAGATGTATGCTTGCTCCCTGTGCCTGTGTGCCTGTGTATCTATGCGTTCCATTGTATGCGAATTAAGCTACGCACATGTACACGTGTTTATTTGTTTATGTGTGTGTGTGTGCGTGCGTGTGTGTGTGTGTGTGTGTGTGTTTGTGTGTGTGTGTGTGTTTGTGTGTGTGTGTGTGTGTGTGTGTATGTGTGTGTGTGTGTGTGTGTGTGTGTGTGTGTGTAAATCATGTTAATGCTCGGCCATGCTCAAATAATGTCTCTTATTGAACAAAATAAAAACCGCAAACATCATTTGTGTCGCCATCGTCGTCGCACCACACCAACATGCAAGCAATGCTACAACATTTTAAATGAATCTTGTTAAAGCCATCTCTCAAATGTTGCAGCTCCTCCAAAACATCCACACCACATCACACCTCACCACACCACACCTCACCACACGTAAACATGAACGTGAACACTCATGACACATGTGTGAGATGTGGTGTTTGAGTTTAGATGAGATGACATTTGAAGCCGGGCCTGCGTGTCTCAGTAGCAAAAATTTCGTAAGTTCAGTGATGTAGAAAAATATAACATCTTCAAGTGCGAAAAATATTGTCTTGTCATGGAATAAAATTTGAAGTAATTTTGCATACAGAACGTAAAATCTGTCATTATACTAATTGTAAAACACATACAAATATATACTGGCAAATGTTCTTCGCGTTCTTGTGTTTGCACGTGCGTGTGTGCGCCTGCATGTGCGTGTGGGTGTGTATGCTGTGTTTATGTGGATTTCAATGCCATCAACAATGAATCATACTGTAATTGGTTGATTGATAGCTGGTGTGGCTGTCAGTTGATTGATTGATTGATTGATTGATTGATTGATTGATTGATTGATTGATTGATTGATTGATTGATTGATTGATTGATTGATTGATTGATTGATTGATTGATTGATTGATTGATTGACGATGATGACGATGGTGATGGTAATGATGAAGATGG